ATTAGCCGTGCTCTCAAGAAGCTGAGCCTCGGTAAAGCTGGTGGTGAATCGGGCATATTGCTGGATATGCTAGTCCACGCTGGAGCAGACTTTCTTGCTGCTTTCCACCAACTCTTGGGTGACATCTGGGCCAAGGGTTCAGTAGTGGATGATTGGCGGAATGCGGTGGTGGTCCCTGTCCCCAAGAAAGGTGACCTTCGCTGCTGCGATAACTGGAGGGGCATCAGCTTACTGAATGTCGCTGGAAAGCTGTTTGCCCGGGTTATGCAGGACCGTTTGCAGGTTGTGGCTGAGGAAATTCTCCCGGATTCTCAGTGCGGTTTTCGGCGAGGTCGAGGTTGCACGGACATGATCTTCTGTGCACGTCAACTAGTGGAGAAGACTATTGAGCACGATACGTCTCTTTACGTCTTGTTTGTAGATCTTCAGAAGGCGTACAACTCCATCCCCCGCACAGCGCTCTGGAGTGTGCTGGATAGGCTGGGTGTTCCGCCGGTTATGTTGGGACTCATCAAGTCCCTTCATGAGGGTATGATTGCGAAGGTGCGAGTCAACGGTAAGCTTTCCGACAACATCTCTGTGACTTATGGGCTACGTCAAGGATGTACCCAAGCACCCACCCTCTTCAACCTGTATTTCAGTGTGGTGGTTGCGGACTGGCGCGCACGTTGTCCAGACGCTGGAGTTGACCTGCTGTTCAGAAACGATCACAAGCTGGTTGGGGACCGCACGGCGAAGTCCCGGTTATCCGCGACGAGGGTGACTGAGTCCCAGTTCGCCGATGATGCAGCGTTGTATGCAACCACCAGAGAGAGATTTGAGCGCATGACGTCCGAGTTCATCTTGTGTGCACAGCGATGGGGACTGACCGTCAGCATTAGGAAGACGAAGGGCATGGCGGTGGGTCAACCAACATCAGTTGATCCCGTTCAACTCGGTGGTGATAGCAGGATTGACATGGTGACGGGTTCCGGTACCTTGGCAGCGTGCTCTCTGCTGACGGTACGGTGGATGCGGACCTCGCTGCTCGTTTGGCGCAGGCGTCCCGGCTGTTCGGCGTGCTCAGGTCTCCGATATTTCAGTGCGTACATCTCTCGGTCCACACCAAGCGGCTGGTGTATCGTGCTATCGTCCTTCCTGCTCTTCTCTACATTGCGGAGACATGGCCCATCAAAGCGGGTCATATTCGCCGACTCAACACCTTTCACCATCAGTGTATTCGCACAATTCTCGGTATCTCTCGTCGTGAGCAATGGGAGGAGAGATTGTCGTCAGCATCGCTTGGTGAGCTGGCAGGGGTAGACGTCGACATGGCCGATGTGATCAGGAAGCACCGCTTGCGGTGGCTTGGTCATGTTGCACGGATGAAGGAGACCCGGCTGCCCAAGCAGATGCTGTTCAGCGAACTGCCCTGCAAACGCCCGCAACATGGTCCCAAAAGGCACTGGCGGGATGTTGTGTCCTCGGACTTTGCTGTCATCGGTTTGCCTGAAGAGCTGGTATGACACAGCGCAGGAGAGATCCACCTGGTTTCAGTGTTGTCGACAGAGGGTCGAGAAGGAAGCCCCAGACATCCCGTGCCCCAACTACCGCTGTGACAGAGTGTTCCGTCGTCCTGGTGACCTCAAGCAGCATGCGCCATACTGCAGATCTCGAGTTTAGAGCCTCAGCGTGAGGAAGCCATCGCTATCATTGCTACGGCAATGGGCGTTCAAGGTTCAAGGTTCACGGTGTGTGTGTGTGTGAGACAGAGTGCGTGCGTGTGTGTGTGTCTGTGTGTGTGTGTGTGTGTGTGTGTGTGTGTGTGTTTGTGTGTGTGTGTGTGTGTGTGTTTGTGTATGTGTGTAGTGGTGTATGTGTGTGTGTGTGTGTGTGTGTGTGTGTGTGTGTGTGTGTGTGTAGTGGTGTATGTATGCATGTGTGTGTGTTGTACATGTGTTTGTATTGTTGTTGTTTGAATTCTTTATTCTCATGATGGCATCATGGCCAATAAGAGATCTTGTTGTTGTTGTTTTGGTTTATTTTACCTCGCAGATTCTATGTGTGTGTAGGGTTGTTTGTTTGTGTGTGTAGGGTTGTTTGTTTGTGTGTGTGTAGGGTTGTTTGTTTGTGTGTGTGTGTAGGGTTGTTTGTGTGTGTGTGTGTGTAGGGTTGTTTGTGTGTGTGTGTGTAGGGTTGTTTGTGTGTGTGTGTGTGTGTGTCTGTGTGTGTGTGTGTTTCTGTGTGTTTGTATGTGTGTACGTTTGTGTGTGTGTGTGTGTGTGTGTGTGTGTGTGTGTGTGCTTGCAGGTGCGTGTGTGTATGTGTGTTTGCAGGTACGTGTGTGTATGTGAATGGGTTCCTTTCATTTCTGTTGAGCAGAGAGATCGGTTTCTCTCCTTAACTTTTTATGTATGTGGGCGTGTGTGTGCGTTGTATTGTGTGTGTGTGTGTGTGTGAGAAAAGAGAGAGAGAGAGAGTGTGTGTGTGTGTGTCTGTTGTGGTGTTTGTGTGTGTGTGT